TGATTAATGGGATGAAATTTAACAACTCCAAATGCCAGATTCTGCACCTGGGATGGAGTAATGCTGGGCACAAGTCTAAATGGGGAGAGGAATGGCTGGAGAGCAGCCCTGCAGAAAGGGACCTTGGGGTGCTGGTCGACATCAGGCTCAAGATGAGTCAGCAGTGTGCCCTGGCAGCCAAGAGGGCAAACCGCATCCTGGGGTGCATTAAAAATACAGCATAACCAGCTGGTCAAGAGAGGTGATTATCCCACTGTATTTGGCGTTAGTGCAGCCTCACCCTGAATACTGTGTGCAGTTCTGGGCCCCACAACTTAAGAAGGATGTGAAGGTCCTTGAATGTGTCCAGAGGAGGGCAATAAAGCTGGTGAAAGGGCTGGAAGGAATGTCCTGTGAGGAGCAGCTAAGGACTCGGTTTGTCTAGTTTGGAGAAAAGGAGGCTGAGGGGCGACCTCATTGCTCTCTACAGCTTCCTGAGGAGGGGAAGTGGAGAGGGAGGTGCTGATCTCTTCTCCCTGGTATTCAGTGACAGGATGCGTGGGAACGGTTCAAAGCTGCATCAGGGGAGGTTCAGACTGGACATTAGGAAGCATTTCTTTACTGAGAGGGTGGTCAAACACTGGAACAGGCTTCCTAGAGAGGTGGTCGATGCCCCATGCCTGTCAGTGTTTAAGAGGCATTTGGACAATGCCCTTAATAACATGCTTTAACTTTTGGTCATCCCTGAAGGGATCAGGCAGTTGGACTAGATGATCGTTGTAGGTCCCTTCCAACTGAAATAGTCTAGTCTATTCTATTCTGTTGTGCTTCAAAATCCTTGACTTATTGGTAAATCCTTGACCATACTTATTGGTAAAGTATAGTACATGTCCTAAGTACAGCTGACTTGGCACATGGATGTTTGTTGTCAAGCAAGGCATTTCCTAAGAGGTGAGCAGCCTCACAGAGGTTCAGATTTTTGATGTTGTTACAAAAGGAGAACTTTTCCTGGATTTGTTTGTTGTGCAGCTTGACAAAAGTACCTCATCTCTGGGAATGGCTGAGTGAACTGCAGTGCATTGAGCATGCACCAGTCAAGACTTCAAAAAAGCCTCCTAAAAATTGATATATTTAATAAAATTAGTATATATGCATGTGATATGTTGCATCTTTCTCTTTCTAGCAGGCCTACACTCCACTGAAAGACTTCTTAAAAGGAAAAGCAGATGCCTATGAGGACTTTAGTGAGAAGGTGGTTGAACTTTACCTTATAATGAGCAGCATCTGTCTAGCAGATGGAAAGATGGGAGAAACTTATAAGGTATTCAGTAAGGTAAGTATAATACCACACTTTCACACTTTGCTTTTTTTTTTTTTTTAGTTATTACCTGTCTTTGAAATGTAAATGAAGACAGTTACAAAGAGGCTATTGCATCAAAACTAGCCCTTGTTAAAGGCAGTTGAGATCTTTGTAC